TAAAAGCAATGCAAAATCAGCACTACAATTCTTACTCTCTTAAAAGTTCCAAAACAGAGTTAGAGAACATGTTAAGATTACAGTTTCCACTTGCATTAAAAAAGCCAAGAAAAAGTGCCAGGTGAATCTCTCCAGGAAAAGACAAAAACCCTTTTCCTGGTACCCAGATGCTGTATTTGCAAGGCCTCTGGCAAATACCATATTGTAATAATAATAGCATTCTTTTATCTGCACTTTTATCATGGGCTTTGGTAAAGGTGAGAAATATCTTAATTTTGCAGAACAAATAGGAAAAAAAAAAAGACACATATCTGAGTAGATAGTACTATGCAACATGGACTAGTTTTCTTCCCAGGTAGATGGCATATTTAGAAGATGAGGACAATCTCTCTTTTAGTAAGAACATTGCATTGGCAAAGGCATTTACTACTGGAACATTTTTCAAACAGGATTGCAAATATTTTTGATGAGTTCTTAAATTATTAATTTGATACACAAACCAATTATTTTGCAGTACTTAGGATTTGAGTTGTTTAATGCTATGTTATATGACTCCTAGAACTAAGGAACTATTCCAGCAGCCAGTGAGCACTTTATGGATATAAACAGTCTGCCACTATATTCTTCCACAAATGCATGCTTAATTCTGTTGCAATGAACAAGAACCGCCAGTGGAAACTTGACATTAGAATGGTAAAAGGTCCAAATTCAGTGGGAGTGGGTTTTTTAAGTTGTACCAAACGCAAACCATCAAATATGTAATAGCTTTTAATCCAGAATATTCTTCTATGTTTGAGATCATTTACATCCATATTTTCTTTTTCTTTAGAGACTTGGCTGGCCAACTAACCACAAAACTGTAACAGTAAAACAAACTGGGGTCTTGTTCATTTTCTAGGGGGTTGATCTCTGTAGAATCAGTAGGTGAAGCTGCTAATGAATTGTAGCTGAATGTTATCACTTACTAATTGGTGAAGATCAAAATGCTTATAAAGGGACAGCTGCAGTGGTCAGTTCAAAAGCAGGCAATCCTGAAAGGGACCCTCAAATTCCAAAATCTCCACTTCATATTTTTGGCTTTAATATTTCCTTATTTCATAGCTATTTGATATCCTGGGAATATAATTTTCCTAATTCATTTATATGAGCAAAATGGAATTTCCAGGAATTATACACCATTAACCCTCCATATATATAATATTACATGAGCTTATTTCAATGTATGTATCAGGCTTTCCCCTTCTCCTCCATCCTATAACGCTAGCACTTCCCTTAACTCCCCCAATCTGCTTTGAAGGATTTACAATCCCTCCAGAATAGATTGGAAAGGAGCATTTGGGGCTTAGAAGGAAGGGTGCTGATGGAAACCATTCTGGCACAGCTGAATACAACACACTTCTTGTATAAAAGTAGGGTTTCCTTAATGATGAACTGCACGATAACTTTGTTAGTGTTGTTAAAAATACCTTTCTCTTGAATGCTAACTTCATTTTAGTTGAAAATTGCCTGGAAGACAATATGAAAGAAGGCATGCCTAAAGAAGGACATGGCTTTAAGGCAGGTACGCCATATAGGCTTTAAACAGTGCCAGTAATCAGGTACAAAGTTGCAACAAATAATTGTAAGGGCAAGAGACCCACTGGTGCTGTTTATTTTGAGTAATATTGGTGATTCTCCAGAAAAAAAAAGGGGGGGAGGGGGAGGGCATATACTTATTGCAAAGAAGATTAGGAAGTTTAAGAAAAGTGATGGTGGGGAATACCACTGTAGTTTTAATACCTTATGTTTACTTATGGACAGTTTTAAAGCTGTCCATAAGTAGATGAAAGACAGCATTTAAAACCTCACTTATAAATATACCTGCAACATTTAGGAATGTATGTATCACAAAATACACACCTCGTTCTTCAACAGCCTTTATGCACATTTTAACAAAATGAGGGACAGTAGAGCCATCATGTTCACAGACATTGTGCAGATAAGCACCAAAAATTTGATCTAGAAAAGACAAAACAGAGAATGGTTGATTAAACAGAAACACAACTTTAAATAAGCACCCTGCAATGTGAAACAAAGTGAACAGAAAATTGTAAAGTTTTTGTCCTCCACTTACCTAGTTTTGTAAGCAAACTTGTCAAATATAATATCAAGGAAAGTTAAAGGATTCTGTTCCAAGTTTTGCCTCATGTTTAGGCATGTTATGTGTGTTTAGATTTTACTAGATATACTGCATACATAACGGAATGATCCCAACTCAAATTACTTGTGTGACTATGTCACTGAAAAACAATGAGATAAATCTGATGTGTGACCAATTTACAACCCATTTCTTTCAGTGGGACTGAGGCCATGAGCTATGACTTCTACATGAATTCTGATTTATTTTATTTGGCACACGGAGTTAAAGATATCCACAGCTAGTTCTTAGCAGTGTGAATATTAGGAACTTTCAGCTGCATTATAGAACAGATAAGTAGATAAGTGGTTGTGGCTTACCCAGAAAAGTAAGTCTTTTCTAGGTAAGCCACAACTACCATCATCTGCATATCAGGTTGTTATACAAAACAAGGATGGTACTTCTTCTACCCCCATTCAACATGTAGGAATAAAATAGACTGATAGTTGAATGTTATTTCAGTGCTGACAATAGGAAAGTATGCAGCCCAAATCTGTGGGCAGAAGGCTAACTTACAGGGTGACACACAGGGCTCTGTCTTCCAAAAAATGTTTTAAGAACACCTGAGGGTCACAACTGCATCTCTGCACAAACCAGAAGTTGCTGCCTAAAGCTGCTGTTCCCTTGTGAGCCTAGGTGGCCAATTGTTTAGTAGAGCCAGTCTGGAAGGTTGCATTGAGATCGCAGTAACTAAAGGTATAGGGCATTGTGATATAATTCAGAGGATGTCATCCTCATGTGAAAACAGCCATTTGATGGGGAGTCAGAGTATAGAAAATGTTAAGCTGTCCCATAAATGAAAAACCCTATTGATCATCAGTCAACCAAGAAAGTAGATTGTTTGTACCTGTATTTGCGGCTGATTTTTAAACTCAAAATCCAAAATGTGTTGTTGTTTTTTCAAGTGTTTGTAAATTGTCCTTAGAAAACTAAGTTTTGAAGGACAGCACATATATTTTAAAATAGTTTTAAAATAAAGCTAAACTGGGCTATGTCCACTTAAAATGTTTAGTAAGACATGGCTTGGACTTCAAACAAGAATAAACTTGAAGAATAAGCACAAACAGCCTCATCTATTCATTTCAGCAACCTGTCTTTTTCAGACTATCATACAAAGCTAAAAACAAGATGTGACTGCTTTAAAAGTCTCACTAACTTGACTGCTTAAAGCAATAACATCCTTTTTCTGGTTTGTTCAAAAGCCTGAAAAATATTTTTTTGTTGTTGTTCAGTCGTTAAGTTGTGTCCGACTCTTCGTGACTCCATGAACCATATCGCACCAGGCCTTCCTGTCCTTCACTGC